ATTTGAACTCGATGGCCACAATAAAGTCATTTTAACCAGAAAAGCTCTAGATATATTGAGTATATTCGATATATAACCCACCCCTAGTCAAAACCTTGGATTTATCAACAAAAAAAAGTGACTGTAAGACATAAGAAGCAATAAATAAAGACAGTTCTTCAAAGTATGTCAGTGTGCATTTTCATTGGTCTCTCTTTGCAATCTGGGGGCCTGATTTTGCATTACGCTTCTTCCATCCATTCAACTTTCCATCTATATCATTGGATACAGCTTATTTTGCAAGAAACATTCGAGGTTTTTCTTCCGTGTAGAGAGAGACTCTTTAAAGCGCAGCTTTAAATTCTCCATGAGTGCATCTGTCCTGACGATGTTTCTGTTTTGAATTATTTAATCAAATCAATTAACTATAAATTCATTCATGGGCACCTGTTTATGAGCTTTATAGACGTTTAAATCAAATATAGCATGAGTCATCCTCCTTGAATAGAAAAAAAGGTAAATATGTGACAACTCCTGGACTAAAATCTAAGACTGCTCAGTTTGTTTGAAACTTTTTCTCTTCCCCTAATCAGACACTCCAGACGTTGCAGCTTCCTGTGTGAGCAGCGCTGCTGCCACCGTGTCACTTTGAATCTTTATCTCTCTGTCTTTATTCTTATCTCCCCCCGCCCTCATTCTCCTTGCCCGTCTAAACTAGCAGAGCTTCACTCCAGCAAAGGAGACTGATCTAATTGGCGGGGAGACTCATTCTAATTTTATGAAGCAGAGCTTCTTTCGTCCTGCTATTCTGCCTCCCTTTTTGGCACCTTTCACACGATAATAAGAAAATACACCTTTAGAAGTTTGCAGCGGCGAGCATTTATTTATTTATTTTTTTTCATTTGTGCTCGTTACACCAATCACATTCGCAGAGGCAATTTGTCCGCTTGTCTGGGTCTGAGAAGGGCGGCTTATCTGCACTAACGCCCCATCGAGGCTACGCTTCGTTTCCAAATTGGACCCTGTTAGCATTCAAATGAAGAGAGCCCCTGCCTCCCCCTCCAGTGTGCTCCACCCCCCTCACCCCCGCTTCCCGTTAGCCTGCTGCTACGCTCAGAGGCAAAGGAAGCTGGGAATGGAAAAAAGCAGGATTATTGCTGTAGGGTATAAAAAAAAAAGTGCAAAGATGTCACAAAATAAACAGGAGCTCCCCCCTTCTCTTCCTGTGCACACGTACCAGCAGCTAGTTAACCCACAGAAACCGTCATTTTACAGAAACATTAAATGTTTATTTTTCCATTTTAAAACACAACATTAAAGGCCTTTTCTAATGGGATCTCCTTGCACAGGTGTATAAGTATGCATTTTACAAACATTAAAAGTTAAAGTTAAAACTGGACTTGTGTGACGAGTGTTTGTTGTCAGCTCTCCTAGAATCACCTTTTGTTTTCAGCCCAAAGCGTTTAGTTCAGGGGTAACCAATTATAAACCACTGGGGTCCAAATAAAGAAAATCATTAACCAGTAAAGGTCTGGAGTCAATTAAATTATAATCTGTTACTTTAAACAGAATTTACACTTGAAATAAAATTAGGTTTTTATGCATCCATGTTATGCATTACATTTTTAAATAAATAAAAAAAATATATATACGTATATATATATATAAAAAAAAAATTTCAATTTTTCCAAGTAGAGAACAACTATATCCTAATTTACATATTTTATAAAATATGTGGACTGACCGTTTGTTATTCTTTTTCTTTTTTATTGCTTAATGAGAGCAGTGGGCTTTATGCTGCCCTGCAAGGCTTTAAACCTGGGTTTCAATGGCGATGAAGCCGTTCTAAAGAACATATCAAGGTGCTTATTCATGAGCCTGGATGATTGAGCACACCATTTCACTTTTCTTTCACCAGTTCACCACAGTTCTTCCAGCAGTCCACACTTTCTCTGCTCTCTTTATCTCATCATCTTCTCCTTCTTTCCCATTGCCCGGCTTGCCACAGGTTTGCCTGCTGTGTCTAAAAGTAGCATCAGCAGGAATCCAGAGTGACAGCAGCTCATTGGCTAATTTGTATCACATGCAGCCTGGAGCCGGACGCTCCACAGGGCTTTACCATATTAACAGTAGAAGCGGCACAAGTGAAGTTAGACAATGTTGTCGGACAACATGCAGTAATTTATAAATGTTTTAAATCAGGTGGGGTCTGGATTAGCCAGCAGGTGGGTCCGGATCCTGACTCTGGTCCGCTAATCCGTGACCTCTGCTTTAGATGTATGTTTCTGTCCAGATTGTTCCCATTCAGATAGATGGGATGGAAAGACTGTGAACTAGGCTGTTTGGTCTTGCCACTGAATTCCATTTGTTGCATTTAGCTCTGGACTTTTACATTTTTATCCAGACTTTTGCACATTTTCAGTCATTCCAGTCTTGGGAACCACAAAACAGGCTTAAATTAAAGGAAACAACAAAGTTGCTCGGTCTTCCTGAAAACCGTTGCAGCTCTAGACCAAGATGACAGAGTTGACAACGGCTCTTGGATGTCAGTAAAGCTGAACGAATGTCATGTGCCTTCAGTCTAATTCTGATTTGTGGTTAGATTTAGATATTTGCATTGGATCCTTAAGAGTAAGTTTAGGGTTTTTATTGAACTTTCTCATAAATCACGTGACTGAAAACCACCTAGAGTAAGTAAAAGTGATAAAATAGGATTTTTTTTTTCTGCATTTGGTACTTTCAAACACTAAAGGCGCATTTTTGAAACAAGGAGCAAATTGGTTTAATGTGATGCAAATAGTTAGAAGTGTGTAAACATTTCATATTTGGACAAATTGACCTTATTCTATGTGTGGAAGCAATTTGAATACTCATCCACCAACGTTAGAATTAGGGTTAGCCCTCAGAGAGAGGATAAACAGAAAGTATCAAATAAGATTTGGTATAAAATCCACTGATCTTTATGTTTAGGTTTCTTGTAAAACTTTTTTTTGTGTACAATTGACTGAACTTTATGGGCCAAAATATTGACGATCAATAAATAACATCTGTATAAAAAGCAATCAGGGGTTGTTTTTTTTTAAAAAGAACGCGGTATAAGAGCTTAAATAGAAACATTTAACTGCCTTAAGTTGGAAATAAAAGAATAAATATTTTAAAAATGGCTCAAATTATCCTACTTAACAAACACCATCTCCACACCATGATGCTGCCGCCACCATGTTTCCTCTGGAAATGCTTGTTTGTGGTAATGAAATTTTTTGTCCCATCCTTTCTTATTGTTCTACATACAGTTTACTTTCGAATTAGATATTTTTTGCTGTAATAGAGTTTATTAAGATTTTATAAAGTATATGTGAGTGGATTAAAGGACAGTCAGCTTTTTTTTAATAACCTTTTATCATTTCTTTTCCCCACTTCACAGTAATACCCTTCAAGTGTTGTTCTGTCGTACTAAATTCCAATAAGTAGATTAAAGTTAAAGGGGGGGTGACTGCTTTTCCAAGGCACTGCAGGTTATCCCGGATCCTTTTGTTCATGAAAAGTGGGCTCTGAATGTGCTTTGCGTGCTGCTGCTCCAACAAGGTTGTTACCTCAGCACTGTATCCAGGAGGTCATCAGCATCTCATTGTTCACGCGATAAGACACAAAGCATCACAATGGCCATCCAGTCGGCGCAGGCTGCCACAAAGCTGTCATCAGCGACTCACAATACCTGATGATTTTCAGTAATTGCTTTTGATTTCACTAAGCCAGTTTCCACCAGTCCCCTTTGCTCTGGGCTGCAATTTAGCACTTTATTTTTGAAGATACTTATAAAATTAGGTCTAGCAGCAGTTTCAAAGTTCCTCGGCACAAAGGAGGAGGTGTTCATTAGCGACTCTGAGGCAACAGACCTCAAAAGAACTTGACAGCAGAACAAGAAGAGAGAAAGAGAATGTGTCATGAAGATGAGGATACCAAGGTGGTGCAATCCTTTGATCAATAGCTCTCCTTATAGCAATCCTGTCTCCTTACCCATCCATAATATACATATCTCTGTGTGCATCCTCTCTGTTATTAACAAGACGGTGTTGCTCCATCTCTGCAGTAGGTATTGAATTTTTAAGACAGACATTTTCCCCTTGTCTTCACCCGTGAATGAGGACAGGTGGAGTAAAAAATACAAAGCAAGTGTATCCGCCGTGGCTTTAAATTAGATTCATTGATACTGGATGTAACAAAAGAGGGTTGATAGTATCAGACACGGGTAAATATTTATTACATTGGGAAAAAAAAGGATTCAGGCCTCAGAAATGAGAGGGCGTCCAACGCTCGGCTTGGTTCTCATGGGAGAGCATGTTTGTCCGTGACAGTCATAAATATGGATCACGCTGGGAGATGACAGGGATTGTAATCTCATGGCTGTCTTTTGTCGAGCACATGACAAAAGTAACCCCCCCATCCAGCTCTCCTGCTGGTGGCGAATGCAGGTGGTAAAAATGAAAAGTTTCACCTTCTCCTGTTCATTAGTATGAGCCACTCAGCGACAAGTGGCACAGCGTTTAATTGGGTTGGAAACGGTGTCCTCGGGGTATTGGGGGATGAGGGGGTAGTTTTCCTGGTCCTTTATCTGTTCTTTCTCTTGGACTAATTTGCAAAAACAGGTAAATATTCAGAGGATTGTTTTGCAGCTGGGCCGATTAAGGCAGCTCAAGCATAGCAATGGAAAATGTGGACCGAACGGAAAGCCTGTAATTCAATTCACACCGCTCGCTGAAATGAACAGGACTTGTTGGTACTAGTCGACAGCTGCGGCGCCGCATCCCTACCCAGGGGGTGTCAAGTAGTTCTTCAAATTACCACACTGGGCTTCCAAAAGGACGCCGGTAGCAGCTCAGATAAGATGGCCTGTCATTCATATAGCACTCCAGAGTACAGAGAGTGTGCATCTCTCTTCCGCCGCTGCTCAACAGATGTACTAAATAAATAACTGATGAATAAAAGAGACAAACAATCTTTATGTGTTTCCCCACCTGCAGCTCTGAAGGACCCCTGCACGGAGGTGACATGTAGCTACGGCAGCACGTGCGTCAAGTCGTCGGACGGCATGTCGGCGAAGTGCATGTGCCCCCTCAGCTGCGAAGGCAAACCCCAGCAGGCGGTGTGCGGCAGCGACGGGAAGGACTACCGCAATGAGTGTGAACTCCACCAGCACGCATGCAAGACCCAGAAGAACATACGAGTGCAGTTCCAAGGACCCTGCGGTGAGTCACATCCTTGGTTTTTGTCCTAAATTGTCTCTCCTCATTTTGTCTTTCCAAAGAAAATAAAAAAATATACATATTATAGATATAGAATTAACCAGCGAGCTTAGGAAAGTCTTCTGTTGTTTTTTTTTTTTTCATCATAGTCATTTTTTAAAAGGTATGTCTTTTATTCAAACTTAGTGATTTCTTAGTATTAAATTCTCTTTGACTACTCTTCCAACATACTGTTAATATGCCTGAAAACAGTAAAAAGGAGTTCTCTATGTTTTCATTCCTGAAATCAGCACAGAAATGCCATCAGATCTTTACATTTGCACATATTTCTACTCCTTTGTGGTACAACCTCATCCTGATACGTTCAGATTAGTTTCATAAAGCCATGTAATCTACCATGAAACCATAAAGAAGCATTTCCGCTTTATGATGTTCTTTGAAAAACTTTCCCCACTACTTTTTTCCCCCTTTTATTCTTTGTTTACTACCACTGCCTTTGTTGTTGTTTTCCACATCCTCATGCTGCAGTTCCTTCTGGCACACCTCAGCTAATTCTCATTTTTCCCTCAGATTGCTTTGCTTCACGCAGGCCTTCCTGTGGTGTGAATTGTTGTTTTCTCTAAGTAGGTCTTCAGAGCTGTCGTTATTGTCTGTTTCTTTCGCTCTTCCTTGTTATCATCTGGCAAGTCGTTGTTTACGCTCAGCGCGCTCAACTTTTACTTTTCCTGGCAAGCCAGATGGAGTGAAAGAACAACAGAAAGTAACTCTGCCTCTCAGCAGCAGGAGCCAAAGCCAGCTGTTGGGCATCGAGAGATAGATGCGTATTTCCACGGGCAGAAGGTTGGTCGTATAAATCCAGACCGAATCGCCCGTGTTTCCCTGTTTTTCCCTCAGAAGGTCCAAGGCACGGGGGAGCAGATGGCCCTGATGGTTCTCTAAATCTCCCTGCAGCCATTTTATCTAAAACCTCAGGCCAAACCCGTTTGATTTATCCACACTGGTAGTTTTTTGCAGAAAACAAGCTATTCTTTTTGTAATTACCCTACTTGCTCAGCTAGAGAAAAGCATGGATCCTGGAAGCAGTCCTTCTCAGTTAATGGGAGGTAATGGTCTTTCTCTCAGATAATGGTCTGGCTGGCGGCTGAGGCTCTGCGTCATGCAGAGACACTGCGTGAATTACGATAAAACCCTTGTTTACTCGGCTGCGAGTCTCTCTGCAAGCCTTTGCATTGTGCTGCTAGAAATCAATCCGAGTCCTGGCCGGTGGTCACCCTGCCTTTTTAACCAAACCACTCCGTCCCTCTTTTAAAAAGCCCTGTCATTGTCATTCCTTGTACTGCAGCCAAAGGTCTTTGGAAACCATCCCCTCTTATTTTTCTGTTTCTCATTCTCTTTCTTCCTTTCCCGATGATAGGGTGTTTCATCCTTGGCGTGGTTTGAATGACTCGCCCAAACTTGGCAGTGATTTAATGCGTAGCGGTTTCACATAAATCCTTTTGTCCTTTCCCGCATCCTGGAAGCGTGGACAGCAGGATAAAGCCTGTGTTACAGTTTCCAGGAGGTAGAACCCTTGTTCGGCACATCCTCAGGCCCATTTCATTATGATCTGTAGACTGATAGGGCGAAGTGAGCCGAAGAAGGGCTCCTCTGGAGGAAGGGAGGAAGGAGGGAACTAATTAAAGCCTTGGTCTCTTCATCTATTTTCTTGTCTAGGCTTCACATCCAAGGTCCTGGCCTTTCCTGCTCTCATCTCCAGGTTCACATGTTATCTCTGAAGCCCCTTCTCTTTTGTTTTCTTGTTCCAACCCCATCGCCATTAAACAGACAGAACGTTCTAGCAGGACATTAGACATGTCTTCAGATTAGTGAGGGGTTTAGACAACATGACCTGGTTAAAAGATGAGATTTTAGGACAAATTTGAAGCCATTTGTCTTTTTTTTTTGTTACACTGAGGGTAATGGTTTTAACATTAAAACAAAACAATGTAGAAAATGATGTCCAGATTTCACTAGTCATTGTATTGCTTTGTTTTTATCTGATTTTACGGTTGTTCTGAGGCTTTAGAAAGACATTTGACTTGATCTTTCTTTTTTTTCACAAATTGAATCCATTTTGTATAAAAACAGAAACTGTGTTTTAAATAAGTCTTTGTATTATTTTTACTGTTGCTCTTCAGGGCGCTACATAACTCAGATCATTTACTAGAGGTTTACACCTGCAGTTTAAAACTGTAACACTGCTAAATTTGTGCTTATAGGAAGCACTAATGCTAACGGTTAGCTTTACTTATTTATGCCTACTGTCACTGTCTTCCTTTTCTGCTCAAAGCAAACAGTAAAACAGTGTTAGATCTTATTTCAGACTATAGATTTTGATCTTTTTCCAAGACCAACTTTATTTATCAGAAATCATTTATGCTCTTCAGTTAAAATTTTGTTGAGTCACAAATTAGTGATTGATATTGTTGGGTAGGAGGCCAAATCCATCTAATGCCTTAACCTTTCATCCTTTAAGTGATGTTTACTATGAATCACTGCTGTTAGCTTGGTTCTAACTGATTGTTACTGCCTTCACAGATCCTTGCAAAGACAGTCAGAACAGTCTAAACACTATCTGTCGAGTGAATGCCATGACCCGCCAGCGTGAGATCTACAAGTCACCAGAGTCCTGCTCTGAAGATAAGGAGCCTCTGTGCGCAAGCGACGGCCAGACATACTTCAGCGAGTGCGCCATGATAGCCACAGGCTTTCAGAAGGGCATCAGCCTCAGGAAGATCCATTCTGGCCAATGCAGAAATCTGGGTAAGGAAAAGCTGCGTTAACTTCAGCTGGCTAAAATTTAACAAAGGGATTCCAAAAGTGTTAAAAAAACAAGCCAATGGACTTTTTTTCAAGTTTGAAGACGTATCAATTCCAATCCAGGAAGGTTTTTCAATTCAAGATGTCAAGAATAGCGTTGAGTTCGAGGCTCTACAGTAGCCCAACAAGTATATAGTCCTGAACTAACATTTGGGACATTTGGAATTGAAAAAGCTTCCAGGATGGGAAGTGAAATGTCTTCGAACTTGGAAACAAAGTCCAGTTGTTTGTTTTTTTACCTTTTTTGGAATGACTATGACCTGGATGACTGAGAATCCAGCATGTTTAACATTGAGAAGTTAAAACTCTTCTGTGGTATATTAAATGTCAATCAGTTCAGATTGAGAGACGGAAGGGCTCAACTAGTGAGCTCACATATTAGGAGAAAAACTCTTATTTTGTCCATTTAATTTTTTATTTTAGGACAAAGATTGTATGGGCAAACCGACCAGGCAGCCATTGTTGTAGGAGATAACAGATTTTGGTCGGTCTGCCAATGCAGTGCTTTACAAAAGCCTTCATTCCCCACATTAAAAACACAGACATCAGCCTTTTCTTTATTTTGTATTTGGAAGATTAACAATAAGTCAAGTTTAATTCAATTCAAAAAATACTTTAATGAAAATGTTAAGTTTTTTGTTCTCTTTTCCATGAGTTCTTGATAACTGTAGGCAGGAAGGATAATCTGTAGCGATCTGTCTTGCATTAAAGCTAAAGATTATTAAGTCTTATGTTGGTGTTCAACAGTCTGATGAAGAAGTGGCTCACCTTAGTCTACAATGTTATAGAGATATATTCTTCATTAAATCATCTCCAGAGATTCTAGAGAAGTTTCTTTGAGATTTTACAGTTGTAAAATGTGTAAAATTTGGAGGCTGGTTGAGGACCCAGAGATGAGTTTTGGTGATTTAATGACGGCGGCAACAGAAACAAAAATCCAGAAACAAAATACTGAAAATCAAAAATGAGGTGGAAAGTAGAAATGAAAAAAAAAACAGCTGTGAGTAACTGCAGAGGTGGCGTATAAATTGGTAACAGAAAAAGAATGCGCTAATGAGCTGGTATGGAGCAGCTGTGGATAGAAGTAACTAGAAGGGAGCCAAGGGGAAAGGAAACAGGCACAAGGGGGCAGCAGAGAGCAACACAGCTTAAATATAACACAAAATGGAAAATAACCATATTTCAACCAAACAGTAGTGATGGTGAGATGAAGCCTTGTGAGGCATTGAAACGTTTAGGCTAATTGCTTCAACGATCAACACAGTTCACGTAGCTTCATTTGAACATCCACCTACTGGTGGAGTGCATTACTACAGTTAGTAATATAATCAGATTTTTTTGCCGTTGTTTTTCTTGGTTTGTTTTTTTCTATTTAAGTTCCTTTGAAATTGTTGATGATTGGTGTGTAAAATCTTTTTTAAGATGTTTTTGTGTGTAAAATGTCTTAGAAGAGAACAATCATTTAAGCTACACTGTTTCTCTGCCTTTTTTGTGAAATAAGCTCAACCAGTCAGTGCTTGTCTGAACGTTCTTGTGCAAATTGGGCAATGATGAGCAAAATGTAAGGTATTACTAATTTTTATTCAAACATAATAGTTTTTCCAGAGTTTATGGTTGAATCGGGTTGGAAGTTATGTGGTCACCCAATCTTTTGGCTAAACCAGCCAGTCTAATAAGGCAGCGATTTTACCCAATCTATAATTATACATGGGCAAACCAATACAAATTAGTCTCATTAGCCAGAAAACTTGTCAATTATTATCGCAAATTTCAAAAGTCTTAGGTGGGTCTTGAACCAACAGCCCCAAGATTGGAAATCAATGTCTTATAGCCATTAGCAATGTTAATTGCGCATATAAACCAAAGTGGTTTTAACTAACTAGGTTGTTTTTCCAATCAATCTATTCTTAGAATATATCCAAATTCTATCCAACTGACAACAACTCTCCTCCAAACTCCCACATCTTGACTGAATACTGAGGCTGTTTAAATGCCTGCTGAAGTTCTGGGTGAGCTGAACCGCTTTTTGAAGCGGTCACGCAATGTGGCAGGGTAGCGAAGCTTCGGACCTCATCTGTTTTGGCTCCTCCCCGAAATGAAGCAAGCCTCGATATGCACCCTCAACTACTCGACACACGCCTCGAAAACCACGGCTCATCTCGTGACATCCCTACAAAACTCAAAGTCCAAAAGGGGAGAACCATAACATGTTATTATTTCAGTATTTAGAAATCATTAAACTGGAGATCTCTCTATGAGAGTTGTTTTATACCCTAAACCTTCTTTTAACCTCCCCGCAGCTTTTTTCCTGATCCATCTGTTGTTCCTCTTAGTTTTGATGACGCTGTTTATTTCTGATTGTTATCAAACCTTTAAGGAGCTTAGAAAGCACCTGTATTTGCAGTAGTAGGGATACTAGAGTAAATGGGTCTGAGTGGAAATGCTTCTCTCACTATTTAAATGTTTGATGTGATTTCTTTTACATCTGGCTTTTCAAAAGTTAAAGAAAAGCTTGAAACTTAATGACAAAAAGTGCCTGGGCTGCTTTCCATGATTTGGAGGTAAATTGCCCACAGGTCAGTGGGTCTCTGCTGTATCTGAGCTATATCACGGACCTCCAGTCCCGCCTGATAAAAGCCTGCAGGGCTGTTATCTTTGCTATTAGAACACGGGGTTTAAGCCTCCGTCAACAAAGAGCTGTCAGCTTTTACTGTACGTCTGATAGCCATCGGAGGAAATCCAATTTCACCGCTGTGTTGTCGATGCGGCGTCGCGAGGGGAACAGCTGTGCAGGTTTACAGCCGTAATGCACGGCAACACTAATGCACTAAGACCCTATGATACAGGCAGAGACAAGAATGGATCTAAACACAGGGCGTCCTTTGGTACAGGCAGCACTGAAGGCTGATATATAGTTTTTAGACACTCTATGGTTCTGCTTGCTGCTCTGCTTGACAGCGTGATGGACGGCTGTGAAGGCTGCAGGACGCATAAATCTCAGCCAAAGTGGATTTGTGAGTTTGTTGTTATTTGGCTGACCAGGTTCATACATGTGAGCAAGTGGATGAGTTATTTTTCTCTACCAACCCCACCCCTCGCGTTTGTGCTGCGCCGCTTTTTCAAATAAAAGAATAATTCAATTCGAAACAGAGATCCATGAAATCATATCCCAAAGCAAATTACAAATTGGTAACTAATGAAAATGGCCATTTCGCCTCGTAACCGTGACATTGCACATCCGCGTAGCCCTCTCGCTCAGATAGAGCAGCGACGTAATTAAATGTGGCATGACAGGCTTTTAAAGAAAAGAGGAGAAGGAACTGAATGGCTGTACAAATTTAATCCACTGATCAGGAGTGAAATAAATGTTGAAGTCTAGCGAGTGCCTCCAGAATAGAGGCCACCTTCAAATTGGATTTTCTCACTTCTGCGGCAAATGCGGCGTGTCACATTACCACTATTCCTTTCGTTTTTCCTAATTCCTTCTGTAGATTTCTGCTAACTGGGCCTGTGTGTTGGAAATATAACAGTAGGACATTAATTTAAACCTTAGAAATTTAATTTATGATTAACAGTTGGGTTTTCATGTCAAAGTTTTTGGAAAATGTTATCTTCAAAGCAGCTGAAAGTAACTTAGTGAGAAACTTTGCTTTTTATGACTGGGGGAATGTGATTTGAATCATCATGGTTCCTTTGAGTCCAGAAAGTGTTTAACAAACTCGAGTTAGAGAGAAAGATGAAAATATAGAAGAGAAAGAAGAAAATATAGCAATACAGAAAGGAAAAGATTTAGGTTCCAAAACTACAGTTCCATCCATCCTTTCATCCGTCCATCCAACCATCATCCATGCAATCAATGTTTCATCCATCCTTTAATTCATCCATCCATCCGTCTTTCCTTCATCATCCATCCCAACATCCACCTGTCCATCTATCCATCCGTCCATCATCCATACAATCAGTGTTTCATCCATCCATTCATCCATCCATCCATCCATTTAATCATCATCCATCCATCTGCCTATTAATCCATCTGTCTATCCATCCATCCAATGCCCATCCATCCATCCATTCATCCATCTTTCTGTCCATCCATCCATTTAATCATCATCCATCCATCTGCCTATTCATCCAACCATCCATCCATCTGCCTATTCATACATCCATCCAACCATCCATCCATCCATCCATCCAACCATCTATCCAACCATCCATCCATCCATCAATTTATCCATCTGTCCATCCATCCATCCATACAATCAGGGTTTAATCTTTCCATTAATTAATGCATCCATCCATCCAAGCATCATCCATCCATCCGTCATCCATCCATTCTTCATCCATCCATCCATCCATCCATCCATCCATCCATCCATCTATCCATCCATCCATCCAAGCATCATCCATCCATCCGTCATCCATCCATCCGTCATCCATCCATCTGTCATCCATCCATCCACATCCATCCATCCATCCATCCATCCA